TTAGCTTTGAAATGAAAGCCGTGATCTTAGAATCGACAAATTTCTCGTCATAATAGCTTGCTGTTACTGCTGGACTGACAGAGTGTCCGAAAAACTAGTCAATTAATCCCATCTTTGATCCCGCTTAACGTTTGATTTCGAACTTTGAGTACAAAAATCTATCATTCCCTCTGGTTAGCCTAGACTGTACCGTCTTTGAAATATCTGACGCGCTCAATGCGCTTAACTTACTTTAAGAGTCTGTCAGAATTGAAGAAGCTGTACCATAGAGATAGTATTTGAAACTCTCTGCTGCCCAAACTATACCTAATAACTCTTTTTCATTCGTCGAGTACTTTCCTCGTGTGAGTTCAAAAACCTTTAAGCGTGTGTTAGTGGTACCCATCTTTCAAAGTACAATTGTTTGATGATTCTCGTTCCTAAGATTTGATCAATGTGTAGATTTTCTGTGATTTCAGATACCAGTTTAAAACCTAAACCTTTTAGAAAGTAGATTCATGATCCGCAAGCCATTTAAAATAACGTTTTTCCTTGTTTATCAGGAGAGGCCGCAATGAAGCTGTCTCTGCAGTCAAGTTGGGGGTATGTTTCGTCAGATGATGGAACGAGCCCATAACGCTTTTCTGTTCTTTGTACGTTTTTTGGGCGTTAGGGTTTTCAATTGCCTCCGTTTTCTTAATCATCGGTCTAGTTTATTCCGCTTTGAATATAAACCCAAACTATTCAACTTATTTGCACGCCAATTTACATTTATGTCACGATATGGTCAGCTCCTTTGTGTCAACGCCACCTGGTGTTCGGTTTCTTGCGACGATGAAGATAGCATCTAGAAAAGTAAATGTGTTTTTGCAGTTCAAAAGGATGAAATCGAGTGCTTATTGAATTTTAGATGGAAGTGTTTTTACGGATATGTGCCCGTGTTTATACCTCCGAACAGGCTAAAAAAGCATGGCTTTTTTATTTTGCCGTCTAATGGGAATTTGCGTATGCATATCTTATATCTAACGTCGTAAAAAAATATGTCCCCAGTCCTTGGCTTATGATTGCTTGGGACAAATTGACTAAAATCATTTCCAAATTTGGCATTTGGTTTTTTTATGTTATTGTTTCGAAATTTTTTCGAGTCCAATGCCAATTTGATTGATTGGTCGTTTTGAACTGTAATCACGATAGAGCTAATTAATTGATTGTCAATGCATTTTTCTTGTATCGTTATGTGATCCTGATCTATCAGTTTTTTGACCTCCTCTTTCACTCGTTCTTGTAGGTGTATGGGTAATCCTCTGATTTGCTCTTGCATTGCTTTGAAGTTTTTGACAACTTCGGTTTTCACCATGTTGTTTTTTTTCCGAATCTTGTATATAATTTTCTGCAGTTGCCTTTATTCATTCTGTAGTTGTCTTCTATTGAGTCAATATTTGGGAACTTCTGATGTTTCGGTCCGGTCTGCCATGGTTTAGTTTTTTACCAATTGCCTAAGATGATTTGCCTAAGATGCTTGCTCTGTGAACAACCATTAATACAAATGGGGCTGATTGTACTATTCATCATCAAGATTCGATTAACATTGTTAGTCTACCTGATGGTTCCAGATACACTCCGAACGCGCCAGATTGTGTGCCGCGTCCTTTTTAGATTATATTTCCAGAATGGATATGTTTTATTAGTCTACCCAATGGCACGCTATACGATGTAAGCACGCGAGGTTGTGTGCCACATTTTTTGGGATACGTTTTTAAACCGGATGTGTTTTTTTAGTCTTCCTAATGGCTCGATATACACTAATCACGCCAGATTGTGTGCCGCATTCTTTTTAGTTATAGTGCTTCTGAGCCGTTTGCAGAGGTAAAATCTGCAAATTCTACCAGGTCCATAATAACTTCTTGTTGCTCCTAGGGCAAGTCCACGTCTCAATTTTTGAAATAAATGACGTTAGAAGATTGGCACACCTTTCGGATATGACTTCTTCTTTCACTTTTGGATTATATTTTGTCTTTTGCCGGGCAAGTTTGGAGGTGTGTTGCCAAAAACATATTACCCCATTTGTAGCAATATTTGTTTTTTTGTTTTTTGTATTTTATGGAGACTTGCCTGGGTTTTTCTTGGTTTCGATTCTAGAATTTCTCTTTTTGTCCACGGCCCCTGCTTTCTCCAGTTTATGATTATATACGATTTTGCTGTTGGTTAATGAGTCCAGCTCGTTCTTGTTTTATGGTAACTTGACTTCCCGATGCATTGGCGTGACCTTGACTTTGCTTCTTTATCGTTTGGTTACGCTCTAAGTTTTCTGCCGGCGAATGTTTCTGTTACAAGCTCCTTCGAAATCTTCTCGTTCAGTTTTTGTGCTGCGAACATGTCCCTTGCCCGATCATCTTCGCCCATCCCAGTCGGCTCTGAATGCCAGGGTGACCAACTCCGCTTGGATTTGCTCCAATGAAACATTTTTTCGGATTCTGTAGATAGTATTGTACTGTTGAAAGGCCATAGTTTTTTTCTGTTAGAAATACGTCCATGAGTTCTTCCCACAGGTTTTTCGTGGATTCTGATTGAGTGTCATTATTTGATTTCCTCTGTCTGAATTGTCTTTGGCCTTTATGCCCGAGGCTTAGGTGGATGTAGCTTTTGACTTTAGTGACCGCTTCATCGTAGTAATGTTTCGCCCGTTTCTACCATTTGATAGGTTTTTCAACGTTTCTGAATTCTCTATTTCTTTTTTTGTGTTTGATTTTCGTCGTCTGTTGGGTCTTTTAGTATTGGCTCTGGTGGTTTGAATATGTTTGCAGGTCGATTTCGCAGTAATCGTTGCCAGTTTTTCGCGATTATCGCCATTTTTAATCAAAATTTCATTTGGCATACTCTACTGGCGGTTCCGTCGCATGGCAACGCCAGAACGGCGGAATGCTTAAACGATTTTTTTTGTTCGTTACCTGCTGATTGCGCCATGTTATACTGTGATTCAATACCGTACGTAACTTTGGTTGTGTACACCAATTTGAAAAAAAAATAATTTTCAACCTAGATTAGTTCGCTCAATTAAGAAAACGTATGTATCAAAGTCTTTTGTTCAGATACAAATAATCGACAAAGAACTCGCGTTAGACATGCACTAACTGCATGTTCACAGGTGCCGTGAGGGTCACCTAACATACTTGATCTTCCAGGCGAACATAAAAAAAGTCATTATATCAAACAACTTAGTATGTTCAGTTTACCCATAGAACAAGAATAGCCGTTTACTGTGCAAGTAGCACAGATTGTTCCGACTATACATTAAAAACGCAACAAAGTTTTTTCAAATTATTGTCGTTTTTTCGGGCTGGTGGATTAGGTATATAAGGCAAAAAAGTGGGGTACAAAAACTTGGAGATTAGGTTTATTTTCAGCCATACTAAAATAAGCAAAATGAAAACATATCATGATGAAAAATTACTAGAAGAACGAAAAAATATTCAAGTTTTTTGAAGTTTTTTGAATTTTTGAAACTTATGATTCCAAGAAGGCGTTAAAAAACACAAGGTAAACAAACGTTACCTAAGTAAAACTAAATTTTATGTTTTAAATTAGGCTATTAAAAGTGTTTAAGCCAAAATAAGACTGCTCGCTCGCTTATTCGCTCGAAAGAGGACATAAAAACTTAAAAAATCAAATCGGTTTTTCTCGACGCTGGGAAAAATTTGTACAAAATTTTTTAAAGTGGTACAAATTACATCTCTAAGGGCTTTCATTCAACCCAGTCCGATGGTTATTTGTGGTAGCTGATTTTGCTTGAAAAACAAAAAAGAAAAAAAAACTAAAACACACCCGAATACAAAGTTCCTCTCCATTTTCAATGGTCGGAACAATAATGGATAAACATGTTATGTACGAATCCAGCTACATGACAGTGGAGATCCGCGGTGTTTAACAAGGCCTCAAAATTAAATATTAATGATTCAAGACATCATTTTTCGCTCTTTAAGCACAACCATTAGGGTTCTCAAGCAAGCTATTCAGGCTGTTTTTCTAGACATCGTGCAAATTTATGGAGTTTTTCCTTGCTCTCCAAATCCTAACTTTAATATTTTAGTAGAATATTAATATTCTACTAAAATAATTACCCAACCTAATGGAACAAAACACCTAAATCAAAAGATCACACACCGCTCGAATCATTGGTAAGTTTTTGAATAAAATTTATGATCCATTTGAAAAAACCTCCAGCTGAAAATAGTGCGGTTTTTGGTGTGTTTTTTTTCTCACACTGAGAATACGTATCTTATGTCTCAAAATATAATAATCTAATATTTATAAGGTAATACTGTCATATATCCATACTTCAAAAACTGAAAATTAGATAATCACAAAAAATTATAATGCAAAAAGACCATTTTTTCTGGGACTTAAATTAGAGAAAGCTCAATTGGTACCATTATTTATCATAATATTTAGCACTCCACCCAGAATCCGCCAATAAAGTGAACATCAGCAGCAAATGTCAGTCTTGAAGAGGATGAAATCCAGTTAATAGAATGATAGAAAAAACGAATCGAAATAATTCCAAATAAATTTTAAGTTCAGCAAACAATAACTTCACTTTTTCTCATCGACTTCTACATGCATCACAAATCGGAACTTGGATTTACTTAGGAAATTTTAATAATCAAAGTTGAAAAATATATTGAAAAAATGTTGTGACTACAAGTGATTGACGTCATTCTACGGTAATGATTATAAATAAATAAATAAATTTTAAAATTTATCTTCAACTTAAACATGGATTGGACAGAATGCTCCTTATAGATTAACGTCATTATAACGTAAGACCACAATCTTAGCTGAAAATATTCGTTTATTATACCACTTACAGCAGTAGAATAAAACAAAGCGTTTTCACTAATATTTTTCTATCAAAGAAACGGTACATAGAAAAACTGATAAATTAAAAAATAAAATGACAGGTACAAAGAAAGATCACACTAGATGATAACTGCCAAAGCCAAACCCATATTTTTAATTTTTAATGCCAAAAAAGTAAGTGAAAAATAAATTTTATGTTTTGAACAGCTTAAGGACTTTTTTCAACTCGATTCAAGGTCCGCGAATTTAGAAAAGACTAGCCCGACCCAAATTTGGCTATTGCAGATTGGCTTGACCAAAAAATAGAGATTGGTGCGACCAAATCTTGGCACGGTAATAACTGAGGGGAGTGGTGGTGAAGTGTTTACGTGTTTGCCTCTCAATCGAAAGGTCGGATGTTCGAGGCCCACCATGATCCGTGCTCGTTGCTTGAGGGTGAGGCAACATTACCCAGCCCAGAAACATACCAAAAAAATTGCATGTAGCTCTTAAGCAGAGATACAACAGCGGTTTGTCTTCATGAACGGTACTGCGCGTATTGTTTCTTTCCCTCGTGGATAACTGGTCCTAACTTAATTTAACAGCGCGACCAAAAATGCCACAGCGACAGGTGCGATATAAGAAAACGACACGACTGACGCGCGCGAAATTCGGCTATTGCAAATCGGTGCGACGGAATTTCGGTAATTCATATCCATGCGACCGAAACAACGCATTCTTATTCGAAATTCGGCTATTGCAAATCGGTGCGACGGAATTTCGGTAATTCATATCCATGCGACCGAAACAACGCATTCTTATTCGAAATTAGTCTACATCATTTTTTCCTTTCAAATTTTGCCTCGATTTTCTTTTCACTTCTTTTTACCTCCACTTTCGGAATTTTAGAACTCAGGACGTTCGCAAAAAAAATGCGACTACGTTAAGATTGTCCTGGCGCGACAAAATCAGAGAATCCGAATTTCGATGCAATTAGATTATTACTATACAGCGCGACTTTAACGCACGCTTCGTCTATAAAGTTCTGTCTAGAAGGCATTCTTCAATGCATTTGAGATGAAAACAAAAAGGAAATGATTTTTACCAAGTGATTATGAAACGACTCAAATTAGCTAAATGTGTTGATCAAAACCAAATTTAAAATTTATATGCAGCTTAACCATGTAAGAGATATCTGTTTCGTTTTTACTTAAATTTAAAAATGAATACTAAACAATCGCGAAGTCCAACTAATTAATAATCGACATTTCGCCCCGGGCTGACCAAAAATGCAAATCATACATTTTTCATATACGGAAGAAAGATAATCAGAAAATTTTCATGCTATTCCAAAAGTTCAGAAAATTGCATGAAAGGTCTGTGGATAGTCATTTTTCATATATAGTCTCTCAAAATTTAGGGTGATGTTCGTAACCGAATACAAGTGACTATGACCTTGGTTACTCAAAAGTAGAGTAACCACAGTTTCGACAGTCCTGAAACTATAATATTTTTGGAACGGCCTGAATTGTCTTAAACTTGTCTAACACAAATAATATCATGAAGTATCGAACTTTTAAATTTTGGTAAACATTTTCAAAGATAATTTTTTTTTCCAATTTGAATTTTTAATGGATCATGCATTGATCAAGGAACACGAAAACATGCCATACAAAATGTATTGGCGTCTTAGACGTTTTTGAAAATTTTTATTCAGCGAAACGGAAAAAAAACTCATTTTTTGTGTGTCCAGGACTTCGTAATTAAGTTTTGCATGCATTTTCTAAAATTTAATTGAGAAAAAAATTTGTTTTACGATCAAAATAAAATTAAAAAAGTTTTTGGGGCACAACTACTCAGAAAAAATTTTTGCTGTCGCCATCAAAAAAAAACTTGTATAACAGTGGATTACAATTCCGTTGTTTATATAGCAATATAAAAAATCATAATCGATTAAAATTGATAAAAATAATTTTTTTGGAAGTTAATGATGCGAGTTTCAATTTTTTTTTCAAAATTTTGTGGAAATTGTATAATAAGAATCCGATGTTCTTATAACAAAACAAAACCTTATAATCGATTATAATCGACAAAAAATGGTTTTTTTTCGGGGGTTATTAGTACAGTTTCTGATTTTTTAAAAAATATATGGAAATTGTATAATTAGAGTCCGTAATTAGACTATAATCGATTATAATCGATAAAATTGTGTTTTTTTTGGAAGTTATTGATGCAATTTCTTTTTTTTTTTCAAAGTTATATGAAAATTGTCCTATTAGAATTTTTTGATTAAAAAACAGTTTTTTTTTATACATGATTATACACCGACTTATTAGCCAAGTAAGAAAAAAAGTTCTTCGAAAATTCGATATCTCCATTTTAACAAAATGTATGAAATTTTTATGATGAATTACTATTTTTTCATAGACTTAGTTCATGAAATTGTATGATTCACATTTTCCGTCTATTGAGGTCAATTCGGCTTCTCAATAATTGAGTGTTGAGTAAGGATTCAGGGATCTTAAGCTGCTCCCTCCTCACTTTTTTTCTTGTTCTATTTGCATAATGTTTGTAATTTTCATTTGTAAAAGTAGGTTCCCTAGTTTCAAATCTTTAAATTGCAGTTTTTCTGGTCAATTTTCGCACACAGCGGCAAATGAAAGCTCTTGTTTTGGATGGAGTGACGCTTATATCGTTTTATCCAACTAGTTTGGTACAATTGAAGGTTATAAGGTCCAGTTAACTCTCTAGAGTTTGTTGAATCATTTTGATTTATGGATTTTGCAAGGGAGCTAGGCAAGTTTGCTATAGTGCTAGGCAAGTAAGGCAACAAGACGTTAAGGCGACAAGACAGACATTTAGACGACAAAAATCTATTAGCATCTAAAACTACATCAAATATTAGCAATGCTATCCCATAGACTTTTTACCATAACGAACCACCTCAATTCGAGAGCTTAACCCGAGTTATTTTCTCATTTAAAAATGGTTGACGCGTAAATAATACCTGAAACCGTTTTGTATTTCCCAGAATTGTTTTTAACCATCATTTTACATTTTTTATTTCTCAGAAAAATATTTCGCGGGTTAAAGCAATCCTTTAGCTTCGTAAATTTCTCAAATTTAAACTTTGTCGTCTAAAAGTACCAACAAAAACGTTTGTCGCCTTAATGGCTGTCCCCTTATTTGCCAGTCACACTCTGCAAGGTTTTTTCCGCACTGGAGGTTCATCGATTATCATCAATTATATTGCATTTTCCTTGTCAATCGCAATTCATTTGGGTTATCATCAATTATACACCAATAAAAAAATGGTTTATACTTCCAATAATTTTATACCAATATAAAAATTATTATCGGTTATGATTGATAAAAATGGAATTTCTTGGATGTTATTGATGCAACTTCTATTTTTTTTAAGAACATTTTTTCCTGTTTTTGCAGTTGCAACGTTTTACATTTCATAACTTTTTTTCATCACATGATGTTTTATACTTTTAGACTTTCTCTACTTTATCAATTTGGAAAATTAACAATTTACTTACTTATTTTTTTTACCTTGGCCAAGGAAAAAATTACCATTCCCCCACTTTTGATATAGCTATTGATTCGCTAGTACGCGTTAGTCCATCCCGAAAGAGTGTTTTAGTTACGCGTTGTTGCATTATTTCGCACAACTGCTAGGAGCGTAAAATAATTTCAAAACAATTTAAAGTTGTTAAATATTGTAACATTTATTTTTACTCCTCTAAAAAGAAACAGAAAACGTTCATCTTTTTCTAAAATAAAATCATCTTGAATTCAATTGCAACATAGTTATTTATTGCTGTAAAAAAACTACAATCTAAAATTCTCATTCACTCTTTTGAAAAAAGACTGCTTGTATCAAGGCAAAGCCCTGAATGTTTCGACTGTCCATAAACTGGTCTCGAAATAATTTTGGTTAATGAAATAATGACAAACGATGAATTTTAAGCTGATTATTAAGAATTTTGTGTTGAACTTCGAAGAACAATTAGTCTGCATCAATTGAAATTTGAACGAATTTTTGGTGCGGGATAATGCGCGTTAAACTTTTAGGATCAAAGTATCACGGCGATCTCTTAGTCACGCTAGTCTATTAATGAGCGTTTCACAGCAATCAATAAGTCAGAAGTGTCTGGTGGTAAGCGCGCCCCTTTTAGGACCACCATGATCTAAGGGAAATATTTTTGAGAATATGACTGAGTAAAAGACCACCCCCGAGCATATATATTCCTTACCTTCTCGGAAAGTCGGAACAACTAACAGAAAACGGTCAGCTCATACTGTAAAATAAAATCATCTTAAATTCAACGGCAACTGCTACGAGCGTAAAATAACTTCAAATTATTTAAGGCTGTAAAATGCTGTAATACAATTTTTTCATTCACTCCTTTAAAAAACAAACAGAAAACGGTCAGTTTTAATGTTTCATTCACTCCTTTAAAAAACAAACAGAAAACGGTCAGTTTTAATGTAGAGTAAAATCATCTCAAATTCAGCGTCAAAATGAGCAATAGAAAACGCCGATATGGAATAAGACAATACATTATTTGTCTGCTTACTGAAGAGTATTAATACGCGGTTGTCTAAGTACTGCTACGTAACCACTGAAAAACTATCAAACCATAAACCAGATTTTTCGTGACAACATACATTGTCGCATATTTTGCTCGACGTTCGCATAATGGCGACAGAATCTAAATACGATTGAATCAATTTATTAATTTTTCAGTGACAACATTCAATTTGAGTGTCCACAGAGCTTTTTAAGTCATATAATCACATATTTTTGGTCTGACAATTTGATTACTTTACAGTTCATTCATATTTGCAACTAAAATTTTTTTCAGAACAAACATTTTATTTTCATTTTTTTACACAGCCCAATTAAACAGACGATCATGAATTTGAGTCAGCTGGTATACTACTCGATTGCTGTCTGGATCTTCAGCTGGACGATGGCGTGTGTTGGAGGCGATACCAACAAGGGAGGACTGGATTGTATCAATCAAATGGAGACCTCCAAAGGGCAATGTTATCTAAGACAAGGAAATGGACAGGGACAATGTTGTCAGGGTTAGCCACTCCTCCCCTATTTATTTTACTCCTGCTCGCTCCCCCCTTTGAGTAAGTTATTGTCACAACTCCAGCCCCCCCCCCCCCCCCCCTCCTCCGCTCACATTTCTTCCGAAAGCTTTTTAAAGCTTTTTTGATATTTGTCAGCTATCACTCCAGTTTTTAGCAAATTCTTTCCTACTCCAAATTCTTTCAGTTTTTAGCATCAAAATACTTTCAGTTTTTAGCATCAAAATACTTTCAGGTTGCATTCTTCGCTGACTCCAAATAATTAGTTTCACATATTTATTGATTTGTCAAATCAATTTTCACCTGACTATTTTCTAATATTACCGAAAACATCCCCGCTGATTGAAATAATGTATCACTATTCTGGGCCACGCTCTTTGTCACGCACGTTGAAATTAGTCAATCATGAATGTAATAAAACTTTGCTTTGTTTTAGTGTTCAAATCCGAGGATTGTCGCCACGAACTCACTACGCCAGAAGACGATGCCCCCCCTTATTTGGGGTTCATGCCCAACTCTCTTTCTTTCGAGAGAAACAGAAACCAGCTGTGTGTTCATGGACTTGAAATGTGTGTGAACCCCGAATCATTGAACATCATTAAACACATCATTATTTCTTTAACGGAAAATTGTCGAAATATTTTTTGAGATTGTTGTGTAAAAACATGATTAATCTTATTAAACAATCGTTTGTTAAATTTTGTTAATTTTTGTTTTTTTTAAGCTGCAACTGTAGAGTCAAATTACTCACATTTTCGAAAGTTCGCCGCTCCAATAATTCCAAAAAGTCAAAAAAATATATATACGACTCGCAATCCGATAATTTATAATAATTTCCATTGATAATACGATAATTTCCAACCAATTCCAATAAAAAATTCCAACCAATTTCCAACCAATTCCAAAAACATTTCCAACCAATTTCCAACCAATTTCTAACCATTTTCATCAAAAAAGTATATACGACTTGCAATACGATAATTTCTACCAAATTTTTTACCAAGTGACTGTGAGTTTAAGACTGTTAGTATAGGTACTGATCTTTTGTGTACTGTTTGTAATTAGGAGAGCTGGGGACAAAACAGCAGGTCTGTTTGGCTTCCAGTTTTATCTCAGGAAGTGGCACAAAGACTGGGTAAAAGAAGAACTGTCATCTCTAAATTTGATGCTACCATCGGACTCCCGTCTTCCTCCCGTGGTGCACAAGAATCCCGAACTGAACCCCTTGAAGGATGTCATCATGTGCATTGGGATGGGGACGGAGATCAATTCCACATCACCTGGTAAGTAAGTGGGAGGGATCAAGTTATCAAGTTAGCACCCCCCCCCCCCCCCCCCCCCCCCCAATAGAGCAAGTTGAGATCCTCCACCCCAGCGCTTAATTTAACTTAAATTTGCTACGCGCTGCATGTAAAATGCTCGATTCTGATTGGCTGAAAATTACCAACTTAGAACCAAGTTAACATCCTCCCCCCTAAACGTGTTTAGGGGGGGGGGGGGAGGATGTTAAATTGGTCCTGTAAGTGTGAATAAACAAGAGCGCACACCTTTTGCAACTTTTTCACTCCTTATACTAATTTTAGAAAATACTTTGCGACTATATGTTACGTAAGAAACTATTTTGAAAGAAGTTATTTTGAGCTCTGTCGATAATTGGTAACACAGCCAGATAATTATATTATTATGACGTGTTGAGTATATGACCACCAGCGAGCTTTTTGGTAAGAATTAGCAAATGAAGCATGTTCAAGCTGACATCATCAAATAAAAATTATATAACTTATTCACTGCTTTAAATGTTTGATGTACCATACAGTTCATGTAAATATACCACTATATTGTAAAATTGGCCAATTTTTTACATGCGAGCTTAAACTTAAAAGCTAAAAAAATTTCATTGCATAACGAAGACATTAATAGGTAGTTGATTTTTGGTTCCAGACGTTTTAGTTTCGAAATTTTTCCGTAAATGAGTGTAATGTTGTATAAACAACGAAACTAAGATTTTTTGGGCTGAATGTAATACGCTATTTGTTTGAATAACAGGCGATAAAATGATCTATGTTTAAACTATAATTAAACAGGGACCTACTTAACAATTTCCATCCCTTTCAAGAAAGGGGGGGAATTAATGAGTAGATCAGAATGGTCCATTTTTCGACCAATCAGAATGCAGCAAATTAGTGCTAATTTACTGCATTTATTAATAGGGGTGGAGATTCTTAAGTAGGTACCAAAGGGGGGGGGAGAGATTGTTAAGTAGATCCTTAATCAGTTTTAACTAATTATAATGTTTAAACTGTTTAAACCCAACTTATTAAAAAATTTCTGTTCTTCTCAGCAAAAAACCTGAACGTTTCACCTGCCCCATAAAATCCAAAGAAAAGTTTCAATCAACAAATTGATACAATTTTCAAAAAAAAGAAACCATTTACTTTATCGTCTCCCAAATCGGTCCATGGGAGATAAAAGACAATTTAGTTACAAGATAATTTTTTAGAATAGAAATATGTCCCAGATTTAATTATCAAAGCATCATTAAAACGTCAATTTAATCATTTTTGTAGCTCAAATTGTATGAAAAAGTTTCAAAATAATTACATTTTGCCAATTCATTGCACATGCATAAACTATACAAAATTAATTTTCATGAACAATACATGCTTGGGGAGAACATTCTGCGGTTAGTCACTTGAGGGGGAGATTGTACGGTTCATCGAACTTATTAGAAAAACTTGAAGTTTTTGATTTTTTTTGCATTTGATCTCCTAGAACTCTTTGTTAAGAACCAAGTGATAAAATTTGCGTCTGGTAACAGGTTATTGAACCCTTTTATCTGCTTCAATTGTATTTGAAAGAAATAACCCTGCCGCTCGGTTTTTGAAAAGACAAAAAATGATATCTTTATGATTTTCATAGGACGCTTTTGTAGAACTTTTTAATTATCCCAAATTGGCAAATCTCAAACCCCATTTCTACGCAAAATGGCAACAGATGACAGATGAAACACTTACTATACTCAGGTGAAAAAGCCTCAGCAAAATTATTGGCGTTTTCAAAACCGTTTTCAAAGCCAATAATTTTGCAAGAAAATATCGCAGGCGCACCAACTTTTTTTTCAGCTCAAAACTTCCTTATTATGAGTTGATATTTGCAAAGTTTGTCATAAAAAACTTGCTAAAACTAAATTATATTTCTGCAAAAATGAGCCATCTCGAGCACAAAAAAAATCGGTTGCTTTTTTTAAAAATTGAAAATCAGAAACTTTCAAAATCAAACTTTTCCAATTGAAAACCACTTAAATCCAATTCGTCCTGGTGAAAAAAAAATTAATCTGATTTTCTCAAAAAAAATCCAGCTTTTATGACCTGGAAAAAATCCATTTTTTAGTATTGAGAACAATTCAAATCTAGTTTTTCCCAATACAAAAAATTAAATCAAAATTCTCCCAATGGAAACAAAAAGAATTCATACTTTCGGAGTATTTTAACCGCAGACAATTTTTTCCAAGTAAAAACAACAAACAAGTATTTGAACAAGGAAAACCGGTCACTGTGCGACACAGCAGTTATTGTCGGTAACTACGGTTACTGTCCGTGTTAGCAGCACAGAATGTTCCGACCATAGTCTGAAAAACTAGAAAATAAAAACGAATATCATTTTCAAGTTAGTTTCGTTCTTTTTGCGTGATGTGATAAAAGAATCTGAACGAATAATTTGAATTTAGGCATATTGGACTGTCGTCTTTCAATTGACCAATTGGAAGACAGTCCTTGTAAGAAAATTGCTAGAAAAAAATAAACTGTAATTTTGAAGTTTTAAATAAAGCATAAATAAGCTAATGTAAGCCTGCTCACTTGCTCGAAAGAAGACAAAAAAATCAAAAATATCAAACCGGTTTTCCTCGACACGAGGAACATTATTTTATGTCTCGTTCGAGTCACCACTTAAAGAGCTTTAATATGATATATCACTAAGTCCCAGGATTATTTTGCATGGAAAAGCTGAAAATAAAACTAAAGCACACCCGAATTTAATGTTACTCCCCGTTTTCAATGGTCAGAACAATAAACAAACAAATGAGAGCAAATGAGAATCATTAACAAAATTATAAAATATTAGGATTCAAGGACGTAAAATTATCCGCGATTTCAACGAGGAAAAATGATATCATATGTATATGAAAATGATATCATTTGGATATATATAAACTAAAAAGAATATTTGCTTTTATTTTTCTCAAAACACTTTTGTATACATAAAAGCTGCTGCAGAATTGAGCGTTTTATTATATATTGAGCGTTTTATATTAAGAAGCTAAAAGGTTTCGTTTTCCGTTTTCCAAGAAAAGGTAATCTATATTTCAAAGTTAACATCTAGATAAAATGCGGTTAAAATTCTGTCGTCGAGACAAAATCAGAAAAAAAACGAAGGTATGCCCAGAAGCTATTTTTTATGGAAACCTTTAACTTGATATAAAATCTGGCATGAAATAAAACATTAGCTCATCGTACTCAGATGTTTAGTAAAGAAATTACGTAATTAGCATTGAAAACCAAGCTCTGGTTTGGGGGTATATGCCAACGAAAAATTATAACTTAAAAAAGTCTAAAAGTTCCATTGGCTTTGATTGGCGTTTAGGTGTATTTGCGGCTTTGGAAATGATCCCCTTGAAGCCTAACAAACACGCTGGCCCAATACAACACCCCCAGAACCCAATCAGTCTCTGCGCCCTAGATTCTCTGCACCTGAAGAAAGAAGGAAGGTGCGAACTGAAAAGCGTAGAACGAAATCCTCATATATGTGAAAAACAGGAGAAGACACAAGCACAAACAAACGAAATCGAAAAGGCCATAACCCTAACAGTGCACATCGCTAAGGTTAAAAAAAATAAATTTAGGATTAGAGTTTGTCGAAAGTTGATTTGAAAACCGAAAGGTCCATTGTGCGTAGAAAAATCTGGGATCAATTGAACAAACTCCCGTTCTCGCCTAGTTTTTAGTTTAATGAGTATACTTCATACATGTTTAAAAGGCTTTGAAAAAAAGCCGTTTGAGTTTTTTAAAGCAACCAATAATTTACAATTTCCAAGCAAACCCCGAAACTTTTGTAATTTTGCAAAAAACTAAAGTAAAAAATTTAACCAAAAAAGACAAAACTTTACGTCTGAGGTTTCATACATTTTTAATACTTTACAAAGTGACGGCAAACATACATGTATATAATAATATAGATTTTTTGCTAATTTAGCAAAGCTTATAACAATAACAATTTTTAGTTCAAAAAAAGCTAACAACTGTCAGAAAACAACTTGGGGGCACTTAGCAAATAGCAACGAAAGAATTGATGCAAGATAAACATGACAAGAGGTTCTTAACACGACAAAGCTTTTAGACAACATTTTTTCCAATTTTTGCTAAACGACCACCATTTCGAAGGAAAAAAACAATTCAAAGTCTTACGAGGCAATATAAACGCATTCAGCCACACCGATATCTGATAATCTAAACTCATTACCAATAATTGTGGAGCCAATAAATCAGCAATTTTATAGGGGCGAATGGTTAACGGAAGGCGTTAGGGACAAAAATTCAGCGAAAAGCAGGAATGCCCTAAAAGCATTTCTCAATCCGAAGTCTTGATAAATTGCAAGTTAAGGTCTGTATGGATGTCGATGTCAAATGTCTATACAGATTGCCGTGAAGATTTGAGCACGAAACAGGGCAGCGCAAAGCATAGAGGGTTCAAAGTTTGTTAAAAAACATCTTAAAATTCAAACCGATGCAATGTTTCTCATAACTTTAAGACAAACTATATAGATACCTGGCGTTGACGTAAACAAAATATCATGAAGTAAAATTTATCCGGCGTTGGATTGAAAAAATTTGTGGAATCTTCTTGCCTTGTCTTGCCGGGGGCAAAGTAGGGCAGCATTGGTCAGGCAAGGCAAGGCAAGAAGTGTCAGGGCAGTGTAAGACAAGGCATGGCTGTGCACGGGAACAAGGGTCAATGCAGCGCAAAGCAGGGCCGGACAAGGCAAGGCAGTGCAACGCAAGGCAGGACAACGAAAGGTAAGAGAGGACAGGGCAAGGCAAGGAAGCGTGCGTCAGGGCAGCGCAGGGCAGGGCAACGTAAGGCAAGACAGAGCAGCGTGAGGTAGGGTAGGGCAGCTCATGGCAAGGCAGGGCAGCGTAAAGCAAGTCAGAGTAGCATAAAGCAAGGAAGGGCAGCATAGAGCAAGTCAAGGCAGGGCAGAGCACGACAAGGGGGACTAGAGTAGCGTAAGGCATGCCACCATAAAGCAAATCTTGGCAGCGCAAGGCAAGGAGGGGCAACGCAGTGTCAGGCCAGGCAGCGCAGTGCAAATCAGGACAGCACAAAGCATAAAAGGGTAGCGCAGATCAAAGCTGGCGGCTCAGAGCAAGGAGAGACAGGGCAGCGCAGAGCAAAGATGGGCAGAGCAGCGCAGTGCAAGGAGGTGCAGCGCAAGGCAGGGCAGGATCGCAAAAAGGCATAGCTGGTTAGTGTAAAGCAAAAAGGGGCAAGGCAAGACAAGACATGGATGTTCTAGACGTTTTTTCACTACGACGTGCGAATAAAGGTTAAGTTAGAATATTTTAATTAGGTCAAGGCCAAATGTTTGAAATGTTGGCTTGAAATTTTAAGAAACATTACTTCAAATGTTCATGAAAAAAATTTACAAAATTTCAACCCTTGGTTGCTTGTTAGCGGCAGCGTACTTTTAGGTTAATAGTAAGCGACTGATAATATCCAAACCATCAAAAAAAAGTTCATAACAGTATAAAATCTGCAAAAATGTGAAGTATAAACGCAAACCTTTAGGTCAAAACTTTACATTTAAGTAAGATTAAAAAAGTAATTTCATTAAGCAAAGAGGCAAAACATGGAGAAAAACATTTAATAGTTTAAATCCACTCTTGAGGCAAAACTTACGTCATTGAAACGTTTTTTAAGGCAGAAAACGTATAAAGCATCTTTAATTTTTAGGCAAGTTTTCGCATTTAGCAGTTTTAGAGTTAATGCTAGGAAAGCAAGACAATTGGTTACTAACACGAAAAGGCCCTTGGGCAAGAATTTTTTTCTCTTTCTACTGAGAGATCACTGTTTGGAGCAAAAAAATAAAATTATATATATTTTTGTGACGCAATTTAAATGCGCTTAGTCAAAATGGAACTTCTTAGCAAAAACACGACTCAATATCTTCGATTAATGTTCTGTTTTTCAACCATATATAAGCTTAGTCTTAGATTTAATAAGTCTTATTGTTCAAAATTTATTCACTTGAAAAGTTTTTTTGATGCCCTAACAAAAAGTGGTCAAAACTAAAATGGTGGGACTGTACAAATTGAATCCCGTAAGTCGTAATTAGTTTTCAGATGACAAAATTGAAGTTTGCTGAAAATTGTGTCAAGTTGTTCTATTTTCTCAGTTTTGAAAATTGTTCCCATTCCTTCGATCAGGCCTGCCGCACTAAGCCTGAGATAAAAAATGTTTTAAATTGATTTTTCTACAAAAAAGGCATAAAAATATATTTACTGTAGCCCATTTTGTTAAGTAAATTGATTTAGAATGGTTTTAATAAGTTTTAAAGCAGGGAAAATCAATTTTATCGCCTAAAAAGTCTCATCATAATTGATTTAATGAAACTATTTTTTTTTGTTTCGGAAAACATGAGCATTTTTTTACCCAGGAACTACCTTTATCGGAGTTCCAGAGAGCAAGATTCAATGTAACAGAGCTTTATACCGCAAACTATTGTGATGAAGGGAATCCGCTTTGAGTTTTGTTTTCTCTTCATTTTCTTTATCAACTTTCAAAGCGCAATTATGTTAAGCAAATTACATCTAACTTAAAAACTCATAACAAAAAGTTTTTGCTGCAAAACATATAGTTTTTAATTAAACTCGGCCAAAAATCAACACAAAAATGAATGAAATTTTTATAATTTTACCCTATTACCTTATTACGTTTTACCTTTAATTTTTTAGCTATTTCTTTATTTTTGATAAACCGGAGAATCTGAATATAATCTCTAAAGAATCTGTACAAAACTATTATATAGAAAAGTGGGAAAAAATCATTTTCGCTCGATTTAAACCAATTTCAATATTGGTCAAATCAGTATAAAAAAACCAAAAAAACTTGAAAAAAATTGTTTTTAATGTAATATGAACTGATTGGAATTGATTGTTGAAGCTACATCTTTGTATTAAAATAATTCGATTTTGAAGATCTTTCTATCATTATCTGTATAATTTTGATCCCCACTTTTCAAAGGTGGCTCATATAACCTTGTTACAAGTATATCAAAGTTAAGCGCACCCTTGAGAACTGGCAGAACAGAGTAACTAATGAAACTTCAGATGCACAGGGAAGAGGATCGAGTCCAGTCAGGGTTTTTTTTGTAATCTGGCGAAGAATTTTTTCTGTTCCAATTTTGCCGTAGGTTTGTTTTTTCCTAGATGATAGGGGACTCTAACAGGGATATGTTGATCAAAATTACATTTTGAATATTATCGGATTTTATAAATATGTATAAAATCAGATTTTCAACCTTCAGAAGACTGTAGCCTCCTACTTTTTATTGAATTGAAGGAGGTCAGTATCAAAGCACATTAGCTTTTATTTAAGGCTCAGGTCAAGTATCAACTTCGGTTATATTTTGGGAACAAAACATTGCAACTTACTTTAGACTGACAAACCAGATGAGCCAGAAAGAGGCGAGCAGGGGTCAGACAATCTGAGAAGTCATCTAAGATCCGTTTTAGAAATTGTTCCCATTCCTTCAATCAGGCCTGCCGCACTAAGCTTGAGATAAAAAATGTTTTAAATTGATTTTTCTACAAAAAAAAATGCATGAAAATCTATTTACTGTAGCCCATTTTGTTAAATAAATTGATTTAGAATGGTTTTAATAAGTTTTAAAGCAGGGAAAATCAATTTTATTGCCTAAAAAAACTCATCAAAATTGATTTAATGAAACTATTTTTTTTGTTTCGGAAAACATGAGCTTTTTTACCCAGGAATTACCTTAATCGGAGTTCCGGAGAGCAAGATTCAATGTAACAGAGCTTTATACCAGAAACTATTGTGATGAAGGGAATCCGCTTTGAGTTTTGTTTTCTCTTCATTTTCTTTATCAACTTTCAAAGCGCAATTATGTTAAGCAAATTACATCTAACTTAAAAACTCATAACAAAAAGTTATTGCTGCAAAACATATAGTTATTAATTAAACTCGGCCAAAAATCAACACAAAATTGAATGAAATTTTTATAATTTTACCCTATTACCTTATTACGTTTTACCTTTAGTTTTTTAGCTATTTCTTTATTTTTGATAAACCGGAGAATCTGAATATAATCTCTTAAGAATCTGTACAAAATTATTATATAGAAAAGTGGGAAAAAATCATTTTCGCTCGATTTATACCGATTTCAATGTTGGTCAAATCAGTATGAAAAAAACCAAAAAAACTTGAAAAAAATTGTTTTTAATGTAATATGAACTGATTGGAATTGATTGTTAAAGCTACATTTTTGTATCAAACTAATTCGATTTTGAAGATCTTTCTATCAATATCTGTATAATTTTGATCCCCACTTTTCAAAGGTGGCTCATATAACCTTGTTACAAGTATATCAAAGTTGAGCGCACCCTTGAGAACTGGCAGAACAGAGTAACTAATGAAACTTCAGATGCACAGGGAAGAGGATCGAGTCCAGCCAGGGGTATTTTTGTAATCTGGCGAAGAATTTTTTCTGTTCCAATTTTGCCGTAGGTTTGTTTTTTCCTAGATGATAGGGGACTCTAACAAGGATATGTTGATCAAAATTACATTTTGAATATTATCAGATTAT